TTTAGGGTTTAGGGTTAGGGTTAGCTCGCTCTGAAGATTCGCGCGCCTGCCGATCGCAGCTCGACCATGACGTGGGTGCTGACCAAATTCCTGGCCCAGTTGGATGACTAGGGTCTTTAGAATTGGCTCTTGCTTCCTGAAAACTCCTATACCCTAAACCCCAAACCCCTAAACCCCTAAACCCAAAACCCTAAACTCCCTTTTGACTGGCACGGCTTCAAATCATCAAAGGCTCTGATTGCAGAAATCAGCAAGTAAGAAAGATACTCATGGAAACACGGTCAGGCAATCTCGAAGCAGAGCTGCTTATTCAGCTTGTGAGGCGAATGTGACTGTTGTGTATATCCCAAAGTCTGGGATGCCGCCCCCAGTGTTGAAGCAGTACTATACAACTTGACAGAACGGGTGAACTAAAACTATTGTGGAGCCCTGCACCACCCAGCAAGATGACATGACGTGAATCCTAGGTCATAGAATCGCCTTGCTCTTTGCACAAGGGGAAGAGTGCTGCTTCTCAAGTCTGCTGGTGCATCTCCCTGTCCGAGTACCCAAAGGATGATCCTTAATGAATTAGAATACGGCTTTGGTGTACATAATAATGCGATCCGACTGGATAAGTGCCACAACAAAATACACATTACCAATCCTATACCATACTAGACACTACTAGCCGTCCATCTCAAACCGGGCGGCATCGGGTGAGGCGCTTTGAAAATGATCTGCTGCTCCCGGACCTCGCCCTGCAAAGCTAGCACACAAATAATACAAGGGCCTCAGCAGCTAGAATAGGTGTTGGGGTACAAATAACTACAAAAGGAAGGAACCCGATAGAACAGCATTGCATATGATTCAGGCTTCTATAGTCAATAGTGATAGCAGGGTTTGGGGGTTAGGGTGTAGGGTTACGGGTTCAGGAAATCAGAAGTTGTTGTGTCCGTCGTTCTCATGGTCGTCGATGCTTTATGTCATCCAGGTCATGGGGAGACTGAAGCCGTCGAGTCCAGCAGTTTCTAGAGTTCAGAGGGCTTAACCTATCGGAGCGTAGGTTTGTGATTGATCAAGCCTTTAGCTCCATGGCTGGCCTTTCTGGCTCAGAGGTGTGGAGATTCAGGCTATTTTGGGGGCTCTGAAGCAGACCAGTACACACCATTGCACCGCCAACCCTAAACCCTAAACCCCAAGCCGGTCTCTATTCGAAACAGGAGCTCCGCCCTTGCAGATCCCAGTTTGAAGAACAACCCACACGTCCCAGCGGCAGAAGTGGACTCCGAAAAATGCGGCGCCTCAAGTTCGACCCGTAGTAGTATAGTAAGATCCTCGTGATATTCAGTGCCCTTAGCTCGGGCTCCTGATTTAGGAAGCCCCAGCTGATCTTCAGCTTCCGGTTGCTTAGCAGCGGTTTCTGATGTCACCCACGCGCCAGCTGCATTTTAGTCTAAATATCTTGAAGGACATGAGCTTTCTGGTTTGAGAATTCTGCGACTTGGAACTGGCTTTTGCGAGCCTTTGAACCGACGTTGCCGCCGTTGATGACACCAAGTGTCCAGCTCAGCTGATTGCACATGTAATCGACGAGTCCTTGGCAGTCGGCAGAGAGCTTCTGGAGGGCCTCGTTATATCTCGGGGGCGAAGCATTGAAATCTTACGCGTCATACCTTCAAACGTGTCCCTTCAAACGTGTCTGTGTAGGTGCTGTCGCGGGCTGCATTCATTGCAGCGGCGCATTACAAAATAGAGCAATTGGCAATTACTGCCCTTTATTGGCCCCTCTTTGAACCCAACATGACCCTTGTGGCACCCCAGAAAAAACCATCAGTGGTAACCCCTCCAGTCGCCATTTCATTTTGGAACAGCATGCCCCCAACACCCTATTCTAAACAGCGACGAGGCTCGCATCGTTGCAAGGCCCATGTTGCCTCGGAGAGGCTGCCGGCACGAAAGTCGGAGGTTTTGGGCTTGGGGGTTTAGGGCTTGCGCTTTGGGATATGAGGTTTAGGGTGGCTTCCTCCTCCTTTTTTACAGTTTTGGTTCACGAACCCCATCTAATCCCGAACACGCTCGAAAAGAGAGCCATTGCAGCAGAGTGGCTGAGACCTTCTTCGCCGGCCGCCTGACTGCTGCAGTCGAAATGCGGCACTCATGTCGGGGCTGGGGCTTCATGAGCAAAATTCTAATCGAAGTTTTCGAAGGAATTCCCCGAACTCTAAACCCTAAACCCTAGGCCCTGAAGCCAAAGCAGCCGGCGATTTCAGTGCTTGTGTTTTCGTTTGGCTTCGGGTTTAGGGTTCAAGGATTTCAGCACTTCGCGGCTGAGGATGCAGGGTTTCGGAGTTGTACCACCATTCAGGCGACTCGGGACGTGGGTTTCGCGTTGAAGAACGGCCGTAAGTGTGGGGGCTGCCGGATGAGGGTCCGGGTTCTTGGGTCCCGTCGCAGGGCCATTCGAAGTTGCAGCTTCGTTTCGTGCAGCAGCGCGCTTCTTCGGGTGCAGCTGTCTTTCCGGAAGGGCACATGTTGAATCCATGAGAAGTCTAGGCAGGAGATTGTACCACAATGTGCACGGGGAACCCCGAAGTCGAAACCCTCGACCCAGGATAACTCTGAAGCCTTGAAGAAGGGCCAGCTGTACAGGGCATCGCAGAAAGGCAGCTGCGTGTCGTCGCTGAGATCTCCAGCATCCAGCTTCTGGCAGGACCATTCCTCTGCGGGAATCATGAAGTGTGCATACCATTACCGTACCCTTGCAGTACATTATAGTACCCTTGTGGTACCCTTACAATGACCTTATGGAGGTGTTCCCTGAGTCCCTCAGCCCTAAACCCGAAACCCTCAGCTCAAAAACCGAGACCCACAATGCCCCGAACTTGTCTTTCGCGAACTCTTCCGAGGAATTCGGAGCTCGAGTTGAAGTGACAGAGAGCTTGCGGGCTACAATGGGGTGTTCCTCTGATTACTGTTAGTAATACCATTACTATTACCATTATTACTACTATTATTATCTTATTGTTGTTATTATTATTATGACCATGATTACTATTCAGCCTCTTCGCTCTCCTAACGTGATTATGGTTGCTGCAACGACCACCAGGACGTTACGACTACCGCCATCCACTACCACGACCGCGACTGTCAACGCGAAAACGACGACGACTCCAGTGGCGATGACGACTGCTCCCACTGCTACAGCAACGCGTGTGGCGGCTCTGGGAGGTCCAAACCCGCAGCTCACATGGGACACGCCCCCCCGCATGGCGGCTCTGAAGGTGAGGCTGTCCAGTCTTGGGAGGCTTACACAGAAAGTCAGACGGGTTCCTAACACGGATGCGACGCGCAAGTACTGAAGTACATAAAACTCAGAGAACCGGAAGCTTCGCCCTAGAATGCGGAAGCATAGATTGTTAACTGGAGACAGCAACTGCTATCCAAAGTTCTTCCGTCAGGAACTTGTCCAAGAAGCCGTAAACCTGGGTACCCGGCAGGCCCATGTCCGGACAAAATTCTCCAAGGCATGTCAAGGGAGCAACTGTTCCACACACGGCGCGTGGCTCAGGGCTTGGGTAGGGCCAGAAACTGTGGCTGAGTCAAATCAGAAAGCAGATCATTGCCCTCTCCGCCAGGCAACACCATATTCGTCCTTGCCGCAGATCTCAATGTAACTCTCCCCGCCGCCTCCTCAACGCGAGGGAAATGCAGGCGCCACACAAATCCACTGCGAGTGCACCGGCCAGCTGCTTTTTGATGCAAGAATCCACGCAGCTCAACCATGATGAAGGGAATCTTTGTCGCCTCCAGGCTGGGGACTCCACCAAAGGACTGCCGGGTGTTGGGTCGTTGCTGCGGCCGCTGGACATTGAGCTGTCAGGTGCGGCGTTTAGGCTGGAGGGGATCAATATGATAGTAATTGGATTATGGTATGGTACAGTAGAGTATGGTATGGTATGGTATGGTATGGTATGGTATGGTATAGCGTGGTATGGTATAGCGTATTATAGTGTTTTATAGTACATGTCCTCAAGATCTCAGCTTTGTCCATACCAGGGCCCTGTCGCAGAATCAACTGCTCCACACTCTGGCACAGCGCACAGACTGCAAGCCCTAAACCTCTAAACCCTAAAACCCTAATCTTAGACTCTGTTCAACTGCAACATCTGGATGGCCCTCCCTTTCCGCGGAGAACATTCCAACTTTGCGGAAGGATCCGGCTGACCTCTAAGCCTGAAAAAAATCCAAAACCCTGGAACCCTAAGCGCTCCACTACCCTAAACCCCAAAACCTAAACCCTAACCCGATCGGCCTTATCTAGCTCCTGGAGCTTCCGAAGTCGGGCATGAGCGGTGATGCTCTGATCCTAACAAGGCGTGAGCAACAAGATTCATGGCTTTACGTTGTGAAGTGGAGAGCTTGGGGTTTAGGGCTTACCTGTAGCCGAAACATCCGAAACGACCTACCTTTTTAGGGTTCCTTCTTATGGTGTCTATATCTATCTATCTATCTACCTATCTATCTATCTATCTATCTATCTATATATATATATATAGCTCCTTAAAAAGGTATGTCTTTTCGGTTACAGGTATGGTTTAGGACTTAGGGGTCCGGGCCTAAGCCCTATCGCCAAAGGTTTGGGGCTCACGGTTTCGGCTCTGGGGGCTTAGGGATAGGGCGCAGTCTCGGAAATCCTATGGTTCAGGTTGTAGTATAGTATAATATAGTACAGTATAGTATAGTATAGTATAGTATAGTATAGTATAAGGTTTAGGGGTTCATGAAGAATTTTCGGTTTGGGCCCCAATTTCTTGGCGAAGGCTCTGAGCCGTCAATTGCAGTGGATTCCCCTAATCCCTAAACCCTAAATAGTCTCCTCTTATAAGGCTACTTAAAGGATCAGGGAACTTAGTATTGCGAGTAAGGTAAACTATAGTTGTATCTCCTTATGACCCTAATCAAGGTACTTATAACCCGACTTACTAAGTCTTCTGGTCCTCCAAGTATGAAGACTCCCATAAAAAGGTCCTCATACAGACCCTAAACGTCAGGTCGGAAGTGAAGCTCCAGGGTAACAGAATTGGTTTTGGTAAGTTTCTGCGGGACTGATTGTTTCCTGTGCTTGCTCTTGGTCTTGTGCTACTGATTCCACTGGTAATGTAAACCCTGAATCCCAGGCCCCAAAGCCAGGCCTTTCAGAGCGGGCATGTGTAGAACAAACCAAGGAGGACTGCGCACTCAACGCCCCTCAGAAGCAAGTGTACCTTCTCGCCGTAACCTCCTCACTCCCTGAGTGTATTGTATTTGGCTTTTAGGTTTCGGGTTTGGGGAACTTCGGCACTACGAAGCTGGGGCATCGCCACATCAGCATAAGGCTGAACTTTCTGCCTCCTTGTTTTGAGAACCGTTCTCCAAGATGCACGCAGCAATGCCAATGCAGAGCCCTTGCAGAGACCATAGACCAAAGCCTTGAAGGAATAAACCACAGCCTAGCCCCCGCCCCCCCCCACCCCCGCTAACCCCAAAAGACACACGCACACAACACCCCAAACATCGTAGACCCTCCCCCCTCCTGAAACCCTGTGCCCGAAACCCTAAACCCCAAAAGCCCTAAAGCCCTAAAACCCTAAAACCCTAAAGACCAAAAACCTAAAACCAATAAACCCTAAAACCTGAAGCCCTAAACCTTAAAACCCTAAACCCTAAAACCCCAAAGCCCCAAAACCATAAAACCCTAAAAACCTAAACCCTAAAACCCTAAAACCCCAAAACCCTAAAACCCTAAAACCTTGAACCCTAAAGTCCTAAAACCCTGATTCCCCTGAAACCCTAAACCCTAAAAAAACCCTAAAACCCTAAAAACCCTAAAACCTTAAAACCCTAAGACAAAGTATGTAGTCCTCTTGACGACGAAGACGGAACAGCATGCACCTGCAACAACCAACACGGCAGCGAAGAGTGACCTCGATCTGAAACCGAACGGGGAGAAATCTCGAGACTCGAGTTTTTCGAGAACCTGGTTAAAGGATGAGGGCCAATCGAACAGCCACTCGACCCCCAATCAGATGATCAACCCCAGCAAGCCGCCGGACATCAGCAGTCACAGAGGCGCGCCTCGCGAAGGAATCGCATTTCCTTCGGTGCACCCAGGAAACACAACCACCGAGAGAGCAAGAAGAACAAGGGCTGATGCTAGTTTTGCTGAGGCCCCGGGTCCCTTGTCTCTCTTTTCAACGATCCTCGGCGGCCCAGGATCTTCGGGAGGGAAGCGCCCTCCAGGGTCAAAAAGTTCGAGTGCGGTGCTTGGTCTAGGGCGGCTGGGGCTCCTTGGGGCAGGGGCTCTAACTGCGTGAGGGTTGGGTACACGATATTGCGTATAACCTCGCTCCCCTCAGAAGAGCTTTATGTTGACGATATAGATCTTCGAGGCCCAAACTTGACATAACAGAGTTCTGCAGTCAAGCACTAGTAGTGTGCATCAAACCCCACAGTGAAAGGAACTAGCAGAGCAGTCCTTAGAAAGCACAACCATGTTACAAAAAGCAAATCAAAGAGGAAGCTTGAGAAGAAAGGCTGCCACATGATGCACATGCCAGAGGAAATTAATGCAAATGAGTAATACTCGCAATCATGGTAGTGATCCTTCAACATACATCCAGTTGATGAATAAACAAC